AGCTAAATCTCTTGAATTCCGGAACTCGCATTAACTCAAGACATTCCTTTCTAAACTCGCGAATGATTCCTGAGAACGACTTCAGACTAAAGAATAGTTCTGGGCAAATTGACGTCTTTCTAGATTGAGCAGCAAAACTTATGGCGCTACTTCTCACAAGTGCACTCAATCTACCAAGAAGAAGAAATTCTACTATTTGGCGCTGTACTTTCGTAGTGGACCAGTTCTACGTGAATGCTTGCAGTATTCTGGAAAGAAGTTCACTCACGGCTCTGGTGGCCGTTTAGCCTTAGATGTACTACAGGTAGATTTCGTGAATTTGCTGCAAAAAATCTCAACGAAACTTCAAGTAAATGGAGAAGAATATTCGCGATCGAACAGTCTTTTTTACCGCACTGAATTTACAGATCATAAGAGCAACGCATGATCTCGGCTACCTCGTACGATCGCTTAATTTGGAGATGTTTCACTTCGATGCTTGCTCACGTCATCTTTTCATGGCGGATCTATCGACTATACGGAAGGCAAGGAACAAATCATGTTGCTTAGATATCGATCCTTTACAGAGGGTGAACAGCTATAGCATCCCGAAGAGTACTGAGAGCCAATTTTTGAAAAAAGGGATCAAAAAATCAAGGACCTTCTGCAGCCGCTTTCAATTAGGAAACAAGATCACGTAGCTGCTATAAACTTGTAGATAAACCTGGCCATACAGTTCACGGTGTCGGGAAGTATAGGAAAGGTTGTCACTAGGGTGAGCTCTCGCGGAAATCGGCACATTTAGATCAGCAGCTGGTGTCACATAATTGACGCGCAGGGAAAAAAGGAATGGAAGGTGTTCAAATGGCGTCTGAATCAGATACACTTCTTCAGGACACATCCAAAATTGACACCCACAACCACGAGCTGGTAATGCCACATTGGTGTGGCGGTCTACTTTTTGCGCCTATGACCTTCCACGATGACGGTGAACTTCCATAAAGAACACCCCTACAAAACACATCATCATTTCATTTTACTCAGATGCTATCTCGTGCCGAGACGAACTAGAAGCTTGGCTCTACTTCTTCGTCTACCTCGTCAAAGGCACAGTGCCATGGGAAAACGATCGCGCCGAAGATGTAAAATGGACCAAGATCAAATCAATTAATTGTGGTGATCTATTCGAGGGATTACCACATCAGTGAGTTAGAGACAACACGGGAGTGTTCAGGTATTGAGATCGCATTTTAGGTACAAAAAAATTCTGGACACTATAACGAGAGAGGGTTCATCAGACCCAGTATCGAGCACCGAATATGACAGATTGGAAGAGCTCACTAAAGAAATTATTCACGATGTAGGCGGTATAAAAGACGACGACGACAATTTCGATTTTGAGCGTGATCCTACAGAGGATGAAATACCAAGGTAAAACATGCTGAGCTGATTCCACTCTTCTTTTCTAGCAACTGCTATACCGTAAGGGATAATATCAATTGATCAACGTATCTCAGTACCTGGCTCGGTTGTCCCAAGCCCCATGAGGAAACAAAAAGGTCAACGGGTCCACAATTAAAGAAATGATCATGAAATGACGTTCAATCCCATCCGTCTAAGACACTGCATAACGATCGCATATGCCTTGGGTGGAATTATTACCAAAAACAACCCAAAGGACCAAAGTGTGAATAGTGTTGCAGGTTTGTTGTGGAGCGGAAACCAGCGGCACTTAACGAGCACTATGATGAAGCCCGAACACAATCAAGCTGTTCCGACGAGGACAGTACGGCACTTTCATATGAAGAATAGTTTGATCCTTTTCCACAAGTTCAAGACATTTCTCATTAGTAGTTCTGTGGTTCCCCTTTTCGTATGAAGAGAGAAAATGAATGTTGCGTTAAAAAATTCGAGACATCAGTAAAACCCAAAAGAGAAAGACATGGAAAAATTTCAAAAACAAAGCCATTTGTGAACGCACTTACTCTGAAGATTTTGTCAACATCTTGCTGAACTGAACCATGAATAGAAGTGCCAAGTCTGCCTTTATCGTCTCTGATTTTGCGCAGTTCATCGTCCACAACACAACGAACATCACTCCAATATTCACTATGGCGATCACCATCAAGAGAGCGGTATATCTGCAAACCAAAAAACTTCGTAACGTCACAAAGGAAATAAAGTTCCGCGAGAAATCGACCCTTAAGAAATACTTACCTTGATATCCTCAACCAAATCCTCATATTCATCCTGACTCAAACCTTTTAGATACTCGAGTGGATTCTCAAGCTCGAACTCGTCGTCGGGTTTCTCTTCATCGTCTTCCTTCTTTTCGTCCCCGAACTGGATGTACCTGAAATTGCAGGAATGTAGAAAAGGTACAAAATCAATGAACGGGTCTCACTCAGCGAGGGGGCATGCGGTGCGACAGTTCATATCCTCTAAAGCGGTCAAACGTTCCGCAAGAAAGGGGGCTCCAGGTGGGTGTAAAAGCGGAAGAGTCCACACATTTGCACATTCCTTCTAGTTCTGATGCGACCAATTCCGTCTTCAAACAACAAGATAAGCCGATAAAGCAAGCGAAAACTTGGAACGAAATGCAAAAATTCAGCGCAACTGCCACGTGGACATTCAGGTAATGCTGCACTAGCCAAGAAACCACATACAAAAAGAAAAATGACAAACCTTGATAACAAATCAATAGGCTTTGCTCGGTTCTGCTCAATACGGATTCTGGATCGGACCTAAGCAATACATTTTAAGTCGATAAAGAAAGCGGAAAGAGGTGGACATAAGGAAATTCTCTGAAAATAATATGACATCTAGACATTTGTGGTACCTTGGCCTGTTGCAGTTGAAACTCAGCTTCTTTAGAGGACCATTCAGCATGTGATTTTCGATCTGCATCGCGTTGCATCATCTCCATATCCTCGCGGGCAGCCAGGCGAGCATCACGTGCACGTTTTAGTTCCTCCATTTCACGTAAGTTCTTCTCTACTCGCCTGCGCATTCTGTAAAGCGCCAATAGATCATCGATCACGAAGGTTTGATCTAGCAAAAATAAGAAAGTAATTAAAATCTTCACTATTCGAATATCAAATAATATTAATTTCCCACTCTTTTTCGATTTCCTTGCGTGAAAGCCCAGCTTTGCCTTCTCGCTCCAGTTTCTTGCCCCATACAAAAGTTTCAGTAAGGTTCACATCGTTGAATGGATTGTTCAGATTCGTATAAGCTATCTGAGGCGGTAAGTAGCTCTTGTTCTCCTTCTTCCTCTTTTCTTCCTGAAACTCGCCATTCACTCAAAAACAAAGGAACAAACTGAAGAAAGGGAAGAACTGTAAAAAACAACACATCAAAGTGAGGAAGCTCTAACGTACTTTTTTAAGTTTTTTCGCCAAACGACGTGCTCTCTTCTCCTCAGGAGTTTCTTTTGCTTTCAATTTCTCTTTCTCTAGTTTTCGTAGACGCCTTTTCTCGGCACGCTGTTCATCGAGGACCGTCTGAAAGATGAAAGTCAAATAGAATAGAATCGCAGCCATCATGCGGCAGAGACACTTCTCAATGCAGATGAAAAGTTAAAATTCGCAAGTATAGTCACAAAATAGGTACCTGAAACCTAGAATCGCCCTTGTCGGAGTCGCTGCTCGAGGAGGAGGAACTGGACCGAGTGCGTTTTCTTGACTTCTTGTGTGAATGCTTTTCTTTACTTCTTGACCGCTTATGCTCTTTCTTTGATTTCTTTTTGTCGTGTGGCATTCTTCTAAAAATTAATGTTGCACTCACGAGAAAACGTAGGCATACAAAAGTATGTGCAAAATTGTTCATAGAGCTAGCTCGGGAACACACAAAGTTGTGAATGAATTCAAGCATTATGCAACAGAGCAAAAGTTGAATAAATGAGAGCGGAGATTGGATTTGGAGCGGAGAATTTCGAACTCCAGCAAGATCTGCTTATAAATAAAAATAAAAACACTTCCATCGTTAGAATGATTCGAGAAGAGCAATGTAAAGGAAAAAGGAGCTGGCATCGCCGTTAACATAAGAGAAGTTGTGAGCCCCTTTGAACAAGACATTTGGCTGTAAATAATCAGATACAACTAAAAATGCTAGTGGGTTAAAAGGACGCAAATTTTGACCGACGAAGGAGCGAAGAGTGGAAAGCGCCCAACGATATTGCAAACAACGAGCTCATTGTGTAGCAACTTGTGTCGTCGTATTAAATTCATCGTTTATATCAATCTCGAAGCTTTTCCCAAAGTGGGAAACCCTTCATCAACAAATCTTCTTCGGGTTAAAATGAAACTTTGAAGTCCTTTTCGTAAATCGGAAATTAACTAGAGGCGTTCATTGTTCATTGGAGGAACCCTACTTTTGTAATGATAGAAGGGTTCAGGGTTTACTTCAAAAACTCTAGATCCGGGGAGGGAGTGTGGCATTTTTGTGCAGAAATCTCAACACTTTTCAAACCTCTACAAACATCTCTCACTAGGGCTCCATGCGAAAACTGGAGTTACTCTAGAGGGCGTGAACAATTGTTCCGACAATTCTAAATCTTGTTGGAATAGTCCCTTCATTACAAATCATGCTCAGTTGGGTGATCCACTACGACCATCTGGACTCGAACTTGGTCCAATTATGGCGTTGATTTTCTGCTCCCGTCTGCTGCGCCTTCTTCCTGAATAGCATCCAGTGACTGTTACCTGCACCTTCCAATTTTCCAAACTTGTTGAAAGGCTTATTCATCTTGGACGTATCCCCTTGGAGCGCTCATCCCCTGTTTGCTGTTTGTTCTTTAAAGGAGGATTCACGATAAGGTCGGAGGTCGAGGAAGTGAAATATGCAAAGTCGAAAGCCAGAGTCCCTGAGTTTGCGAGACGATGCGCGTTTCGCAGTGAGATGTCGGTCAGACTCTGCGATTGCATCGCGCGATGCACAAGCGACGGGCGATTGGCATCGCTCCAAAGTGCGAGCGACGGGAGATTTACCCGAGCGGCGCCGTGTGTATCGGTCGTCGGCGGGGTAAATCTCCCGTCGCTCGCACTTTGGAGCGATGCCAATCGCCCGTCGCTTGTGCACATTGCAAGAGCGACTGCATCGCGCGATGCAATCGCTCTAGGCAGAGCGATTGCATCGCGGTGGACAAGCGATGGAGCGATCGCGTCGCTCCGGCACTGGTCCATCGCGATGCAATCGCCGAGTCTGACCGACATCTCAGGAAGACTTCATTCTTTCATGCTTTCAAACACCGAACAGAATTCAATCGATATATTAAAAATTTAAAATTCACTCTGTAAAAAACTCTTAACG